ATCCAACAATCTCAATTTGTTGTAAAGTGGTCATAGGATAAATTACTCCAACAAAAAGCAATACTACTTCTTAAATATATTTGTGATCAATAATATCTGTAACAATCTAATGAAAACTATACAGAATCATCACAGAACAAAAGCATATGAACATAAAATTTTTCTTACAGTTTTGGTTTATTCTCACATACACATAATAATATTTAATGTACATGGCGTTTTTTTTTAAAGCCTACTTCTTTCCCTACATCCTTTAGTTGGGGAAAATGAAATCATTTCCATGGAGGATCAGGAAAAGAAATTAAAAATTCACTTAAAATATTATTTATATGGGGGCTGGGTGAGATCATATAGATTACATTATGAAAAAAAGAAAGTATACGACAGCAAGTTGGTCTGCAGTAAAAGAAATATTCACGGGGCCAGACACAGTGGCTTATGTGTGTAATCCCAGCACTTTGGGAGGCTGAGGGGGGAGGATCCCTTGAGCCCAGGTGTTGAAGTTTGAGTTTACTGTGATCTGCAATCATATGATCATGCCAGTGCACTCTAGCCTGGGCAACAGAGCGAGACCTTGTCTCTGAAAAAATAAAATAAAATAAAAGCAAACAAACATCGAAAAAAAATCATGGAGGATAGTACAAGTAGTAAAACTCGATAGCCTTTTCTACTTCCCCTCCCCACCTGAGAGATATCAAGACTTCTTACCTTCATGTTCAAGTGATCCAATTGGCACTTTCCCACCTTACTTCTCAGGATACCCCTACACAAAACTGATAATCAGCTAAAGTTCTTATTGTAACCCAACATTCACTGGACATTCGTACTTCTTTACTTTCCGCTTATTCTAGGACCCCATGTAAGTTTCCCATCGCTGCCGTATCAATTTACCAGAAATTTAGTGGTTTACACATCACAAAGTTTTCTTCTTACAACTCTGAAGGTCAGAAGTCTGAAATGGGTTTTACTGGGCTAACATCAAGGTGTCTGCAAGGCTATGTTTCTTTTCAAAGTTAAGGAAGGGTCCCTTTCTTCCTTTCCTTGACTTTTCCAGCTCCTAGTACTGCATGCATTCCTGGGCGTGGGTCTCCTTCTTCTGCCTTCAAACCCAGCAGTGTAGTACCTTCATATCTCTCTTGGATTCTGATTCCACAATTCCAGTTAAGTGACCTTTGTGATTACATTGTGTCTACTTAGATAATCCAGAATACTCTCTTTATTTAAGATTATCTGATTAGCAACCTTTGTCAGGCAACGTGATATATTTACAGGTCCCCTAGATAAAGAATTGGACATTTTTTGGTTGCCAATCACTCTGCCTACCACAGATCCCAATCCAAACTAATCTCTCATATCCCTAAATTTAGGAGCAATTTCTGTAGCAATTTATTATTCTGCAACAAATGCTTATTATCTAACCACAAATTGTTTTATAGTATTATTTTCATCACTATTTGTTTATCTTATATTTCTGGACAGCAGTGTTAGATTTCTTCATCTTTCTTTTGGGGCTTGAAATCCTAAGGGGCCACTCTAGCATGCCAAATCCAAGAATAATATCATTTACTTTCTAAAAAATTACTTTTCAAAAAGCCTAAAATAAATACGTTAACCAATTAAAGTATTGCACCTTAGGAAACTCAGTTGATTATTTGATGCTTCTTAACAATTCGTTCACTTGCTTTGATAGCTCATCAGGAATTCTTAACAAACCGGAAGATCATTGCTGATACAATGGCCATCTGTAGATGTAATTTATTCTGAAGCTGCAGTTGTCAGGACTCAGTTGCAAAGTAAGGCAGGTTCTTTGCAAAGTATCCAGCACCATGAAGCAAATGAGAAAGAGAAAAGGGCTTACTGATACCCACTTCTGCTCCTGCTGGCTCTCTTATTACCCAAGTGCTCTCGCAGATATTGTCCCTAATTTCAGTAGTTGAATTAAGAGGCAGACCTATGTGCACATGGAGATAGTCCATCTGGAGGAAAACCTGAATGTGGAACCAAACCTGTGCCAAAGTAAATGTTGCATCTAAATGGTTCTCCTCACATGACTGCCACTGCTGAGACAGGCCCAGCCACATGCTGAGCTAGATTGACAGAAAATGCAAATGATCCTCTTCTATTTGTTAAGGAGGAATTTAGTGTTCACATGTAGCTTACTTATACGGACATCTCCTATTTCACTTTTCCTGGAGAATCTATATGCTCATGTATATTTAAAACCAAAAGCAATAACATTTACCAGTTTTAATGTGTGATATTTTTTTTCCTTTTTGAAGAATTTCAAAGCTCATGAATATCATCAGATAGAATATTAGGTTTATTTTAGGTAGGAAATGCTGATTTTAGCTTCTTCCCTTTGTCTCTTGCATGTGTTTTCTCTCTCTAGATACTTAGATTATTTGGCAATTTATGAACATAAACTTCCATTGCTAAGATGTGGGTCACTAACCATCTTGTTACTACAAATTATAAGATTCCAAACTCTCATTCATGTCATCATATCTTTGTATCCAGTGAATCTGTAGGTGTGATAATACTAAATAGATGAAAAAATATAAAAATGAATTCATTCTCTTTGGATAATTCCTTAGGGAAATGACATAAGTGTATCCCAGACAAAATAAAGGGGCAGATACATATACTTTGTTTATTTTACCTGGATAAAAATAAACCACTGTCTTTATGCAATTATTAGCATTTTTCTTTTGTTCAAATAGAAAAGGAAGTATGAAGGAAAGACCAAAAAAATACTTTGACTTTTCTCCTGTCTGGCAGTCAGCATCAATAATAACATTCAGTTCTTTGAGAGTTTATATATGTTTGTGCTTTTATATATATATATATTTTTTTAGTTTCTTTTTTTTTTTATTTCGGCATATTATGGGGGTACAGATTTTAAGGTTTCAATAAATGCCCATTTCCCCCCACAAGTGTGAGTCTCCATCATGACCATCCCCCAGATGGTGCACATCTCTCTCATTATGTATGTATATACCCACTCCCCTCCCCCCTCCCACCTGCCCAATACCCTATTACTGTAGTACCTATGTGACCACTTAGGTGCTGTTCAGTTAAGACCAATTTGCTGGTGAGTATATGTGGTGCTTCTTTTTCCATTCTTGGGAAACTTCACTTAATAGTATGGGTTCCAGCTCTAACCAGGAAAATATAAGATGTGCTATGTCACTATTGTTTCTTAGAGCTGAATAGTACTCCATGGTATACATATACCACATTTTATTAATCCATTCTTGGATTGATGGGCACTTGGGCTGTTTCCACAGCCTTGCAATTATGAATTGTGCTGCTATAAACATTCGAGTGCAGGTGTCTTTTTTGTAGAGTGTCATTGGATCTTTTGGGTAGATGCCCAGCAATGGGATTGCTGGAACAAATGGTAGAATCACTTGTATCGCTTTAAGATATCTCCATATTGCTTTCCACAGAGGTTGAACTAGTTTGCAGTCCCACCAGCAGTGTAGGAGTGTTCCTCTCTCCGCAACCACGCCAGCATTTATTGTTTGGAGATTTTTTGATAAAGGCCATTCTTAACTGGGGTTAAGTGATATCTCATTGTGGTTTTGATTTGCATTTCCCTGATGATTAGAGATGTTGAGCATTCTTTCATGTTTGTTGGCCATTCTTCTGTCTTCTTTAGAAAAGTTTCTGTTCAAGTCCTTTGCCCACTTTTTAATGGGGTTATTTGATTTTTTCTTCCTGATTTTCGTGAGTTCTAAGTATATTCTAGTTATCAGTCCCTTAATTTTGATAAATTCAACCCCTCTGGCCCTCACAGAATGACAGCATGCTTTAATAGAGACCTGACTAGTTAGTAGAAAGAGTTTACACAAGGCCCAGAATAATGCTACTAACTGCTATATACTTTTTAAATTCTATCTTTTATTTATCCTTTCTTTATGGTACCATGCATGTGTTTATATGTATAAACATAAAGAATAAATACATCTCTTTATTTTGTGTCCATACTAGTAGTTCAGCATTTCATTTTTACATTTAGTTACTGTTTTATTGTGTAATGATGCTGACAGAGGGTCCAGTCCTGATGGGCAATGTACTTAGAGGCACTAAATATCCAAAATTCAGGCAGCATTAGGTGTAGACTTCCCCCCAATTCCAGGGAGTATTTACTTTCCCAGGTATAATTCTTGGGATATATGTACATTATGTTACTTAAACCCAACTTAAAAATAGGTGGCTATTGTATTAGTTTCGTGTTGTCACTATAAAATAATTACCCCAAACTTGACGACATAAAACAATACAACTTTATTCTCCTACAGGGCTGGGAGTCAGAAGTCTGAAATCAGTTTCACCTAGGCTAAAATCAAGTTGTGGACAGGCCTGTTTCCTTGTGGGGGTTGAGGAGATAATCCATTTCTTCACATTTTTCAGCTTCTCTTGGCTGCCCAAATTCCTTGGCTTGTGGCCCCTTCCTCTTTCTTTAAAGTGTATCACTTCAATCTCTGCTGCTTTTATCAAACTGCCTTCTCATCTTTTGTAGCCAAATCTCTCTGTCTCTTTCTTATAAGAACACTTGTGATTACTTTTACGGCCCACAGGAACACAATCTCAAGATTCTTACTTATTTTATGTTTCTCACTTACTGACTTAACCACATCTGCAAGGTACCTTTTGCCATAAAAGGGAACATTTATACCACTGGGGATCAGGATCTAGATATCTCTGAGGCTCAATTTTTCAACCAAGCAGAAGTACTATCATTTTCCCTGAAAGATTTAAAAAAGAGGGGACACTTAATCAACTTTGTTAAAGACTCATGTATAAGAGGTAAATCAGGACTTGATTTCAATCTCATTCCAAACCTATGTTCTTTTATTTTTCCCTAAGATATTTATTATCTGAATTTTTTTTTTTTTTTTTTTTTTTTTTGCAGAATCTCATTATGTTGCCCAAGCTGTTCTAGAACTCCTGGGCCCAAGCTATCCTCCCATCTAACCTTCCAGAGTAGCTGGAATTTCAAGCATGTACCACACTGGGCTTAAACCTATATTCTTAATCATGAACTTCCTAAGAGAGTAGTAATGATAACCCTTCCATATTAAACGGAAGATGTATGAAGAGCTGTCAAGGATGTTGTAGATATCATCCTTTTATATTCATAAGATTCCTTATATCACGGCTTATAGACTTCTGGCTTTCAACAGTAATATGTGTGAGTAATATGAGGTAAGGATCAGCGTTTAGATGAGGAAAATCTATTTTTGATACCATTATCATAATTTCCTAAAGGCTGTTCTTTCAATACTTATCAGGAATAAAGAAGGCGTGCCAGACAGCCTCTAAAAATGTTTTACCTTTTGGTTTTTGGCTTCTATCATGTTGCCATTATAAACATACATTAAATACAATATGCTGAAACAAAAAATATATAATAAGTACACGTGCTCAGTACTCTCTCCTCCATGGAAAGATAAAAGCAACGTCAAAATACAAAATGAGTGCATAATACTACTGGATTAGTAACAACTAATCCAGGGAAAACAAGTCAGTTTTGTGTGTAGATCTAATCTGACTACTTTAAGATTCACTAGTTCTTCTTAAAAAATACTATATGCATTCAGAACCAGACTCATGGAACATATTTTGTTTTTTATTTGTGTAAGAGATAGTTAACCCCATTGTTTAAGATTGGGTTCCTCAGAGTCAGAGCCTGCAACATGAATTTCTTGCACATGGGTTACTGAGAGAGTACTCTCAAGAAAAACGGAGTGAAGAAGAAAAGAGCAGAAGAAAGAACAAAATGAAGAGGTATCTCAGAGAGAATGTAGCTCTGGCCTAATCTCACAGTGAGCTCTGGAGCACGAATTGGATCACAGAGTTGGTCTCTTATGGTACAGGGTCTGGTCCACTGTAACCCCATGAGTCAGTCGTTGGCTGCAGGTTGTGTCTGCAGTTGGGGAGGAAGAGATACAACTTACCTGACATCCTGGCTCCCATTTAACATTAAGCCAAGAGCCAGTCTCCAGAAAAGGAGTCAACTGTAAGCGATTAGGATCTAAGGCTCACACTAACTTGGCTGGGCACCAACAACGTCCTCTATGTCCCTAGTGCCACAATCCTGAAGTATATATTTTATTTAAAAGTACGTCTTTGGAAAATAATTTATTAACAATTATTGTCTGTCCTATCTCTCCTCTCACCTCAAGTGTTATAAATATCTCTGGTTTCCAGAATGACTTATGGCTATGGCTACACCATTAAATCAGCTTGGATAAAAAGGGTAAAATTAATTAGTTAACTAATTAAAAAAATTCAATTTTCCAAGTTGTTTGACTTCATTTTATTGGCAAATATCCTCTGATAAATTATTTCTTTATAAATGGTTAGTAGGCAATGTGTGGACATAGCAGAAATACTAGTATTATATATTTAAAATATCTTCCTACTTTGTTTCACATGATTGGATTATAAGATACTGGATATGGGAAAGGTTAAACATTCTGTGGTTTCAAAGTACCGATTATTATGTATTGAGTATGTAATAGCAGCTTTAATTTCCAACATTAATTATGTAAAATTATGACCTGTCAAAAACCTGTATAGTTAGTGCCTAACCCACTTCCTAAAAAAATAGTTCTTTACGTGTACTCTAAGAGAAAACAATGTCTTCAACAAATAGCTGTCACATCAGACCATGAAACTTGAAATAACTTTTACCCAAGTAGGTTTGTTGAATAAATGGCAATTTTCCTACTAAGTTAATTTCTCAATGATCCACGACCTCAAAGAAAACAGAAGTGGCACATCAAGTACTTGCTATGCATCTCAAGAAAAACTATGGCAACAAGTTCACCATATTTATAATTAGGAGTCTGAAAAAGATTTCAAATGATCTCTTATAAATAGAAAGCTCTGACATTTTCAAACTCCAGGCCACCCAGGGCACAGACATTATTTGATATATCGTTAAGACAGAGCCCCTGTACTTACATGTGCAATGCAATATTTAGCTGGTAAGCTGCCATAAGCCTATCCAGTGTAGGAAATGAAAGGAGAAAGATCCTTTTTGAGGGCACAAAAATACTGCATTTCTAATCTCCCTAGCTTCATCAGTGAAATAGACATGACCTAACGGAGCTCCCAGAGAAATCCTACAGGCTCTGCAATCTAAATATATTTATGTATAATATTTTGCAAATATATAATGACAAAGTCAAATGTAATTCCTCATGCTTTACTTTGGGATTCCTGACCTGAATTCCATTTTCTCTTTAAATGTTTCTTGCTCCGCTGTAAACACAGAGGCACATTTGCCAACCCAATATACTCCAGTTCTCAAAAATCCATTACTTCTTTTTTTATTTCAGAAACTAGATTTTATAACTAAGTAGGACATAGAAGCAGAAAGTCCAAATATCATCATATCCAAAGTTTCCACTTAATCAGAAAAGTACAAAGTGCTTCATATTAATTCTACCCTCTACCCTTGAACCAATCCTTCTCAACCTTTTGCAAAAAAAAAAAAGTGTGATTTTTTTTCTTCCTGGTTCTTCAAGACTGTAGTTATATGTAGGAATGAAGCAAATATAAATGTACATAAGTTATATAAAGAAGCTACTTAAAGAAATTCACATAAATCAATTAAGATAATTACATGTTGCAATGATTTATTTAATCTTAAAATAATTACACAGTGTCTTGGATTCTCATCCTAATAACAATATCTTTTAGCATTCCTGTGTCTTAGTAAATCTTTCCCACCCTCCCAATATATCAGCAATCCAAAATCATAGCTGCTGGAAGTATATATATTTTGAACATCTAATTTTCAATAAGGTGGAGCCAATCAGTATGTAAAGTACAGATTACATTTATCTACCATCTTTTTTCAAAGTCAAAGAACAGCTATGATTTCTGGATAAGTAACTAATCTTGCCCTAGCTCAGTATCTTTACCTATAAAATGGAGAAAACAATATCTAAATCTCAGAGTTTTTATGAGGAAAGCCAGACACAATACATAGAAAGAGGTAAACTCTGGATAAAATTAATTGTCTCCAGTTAAAATTTACAATAGATATTTTTCAACAACTAAAGAATAGCAAGAATTAAAGTAAGCTCATATTCACATTCTACAAACTTCTGCCACTGAATCTATACTCCCCAAATTGAAGCTCTAAAAATTTATTTGTACACTGTATTAATTACTTTGTATAGCATTGCCTGTTTCATATTATAAAGGAAGAAAATATTGGCTCCCTTCTCTTTATCTTTCTATGCCATTCCCCAGGGAAGAGGAATGATTAATAAAACTGTCTATGTCCAGAGGACATTGATAACATTATGATTACTAATAGGTAGGGTTCCATTTTTTATAAGGCTCATTTGCCTCTATGTAGTTCTCTTTCTTCTATAATAACATCCTATTTCTAATCTTTAAAGCAGTAAAAAAAAAAAAAACTCAAATATTTGACAATTTTTTCTAGCTCTTTATATTTGTGTATGCATGTGATAGCCATTGGCACATACTTTTTTTTTAAGATTTTTTTAGAGCAATTGTAGGTTCTCAGCAAATTGTAGGTTTCTGTTGAAAGTACAGAAATATCTCATATGTCCCCTGCTCCTCCACATGAAGAGCTTCCCATTGTCAACACCCCCACCAAAGTGGCACACTTATTACAATTGGTGCACCTGCTTTGACACATCATAATCATCAAAAGTCCACAATTTACATTAGGGTTCACTGTTGATACTGTACATTGTTGGGTTTTCTCTAATGCATAATGGTATGAGTCCACCATTATAGTATCACACAGATAATTTTATTGCCCTAAAAACCCTCTGCACTCTGCCTATTCATCCTTGCTACCTCCCACCCCCTTGGCAACCACTGTTCTTTTTACTGTCTGCATAGCTGTGCCTACTACAGAGAACCATAGTGTAGAAATCAAACAGTATGTGACCTTTTCAAATCGGCTTCTTTCACTTTGTAATATGCATTTCACTTTCTTCCATGTCTTTTCATGGCTTGATAGCTCATTTCTTTTTAGCACTGAATCCTATCCCATTGTCTGGATGTACCACAATTGATTTCTCCATTCACCTACTGAAGGACATCTTGGTTGCTTCCAAATTCGGGCAATTGTGAAAAAAGCTGTTATAAACATCTCTGTGCGTTTTTTTGTGTGTGTGGACATGAGTTTTTAATTTTTTAGGCACATATCAAGAAACATGATTGAGGGATTGTATGGTATGTTTAGTTCTGTAAGAAATCACAAAACTGTCTTCCAAAGTGACTGCGCCATTTCGCATCCTCACCAGCAGTTCTTGTTGCAGTTTAACTTCACCAGAATCTGTTGTTGTCAGTGTTGTGAATTTTGGCCATTCTGATAGGTGGGTGGTGGTAGCTTATTGTTGTTTTAGTTTGTATTCACCTGATTATATATGACATGAACCACATTTTCATATGCAATTTGCCATTCTGTATATCTTCCTTGCTAATGTATCTATTAAGGTCTTTTGCCCATGTTTTATATTTTTCCTTATTATCAAGTTTTGAGTACTTTGTATATTTTGGATAACAGAGCCTTTATAAGATATGTCTTTTGAAAATATTTTCTCCCAGACTGTGGCTTGTCTTTCCATTCTCTTGAGACACATTTTAAGGTACCACACAAAACATGATAAAAATTCCATTACTTAAATTTGAGATGCATAGAAGGACTATCTTATCTCTTGCCTAAACCACATGCTCCCTGAATTTTTACCTAAGTTCTACATTTGATTTGAACAGACTTTACCTCAGTGATGAATTAATTGCCTGATATGAATCATGTATAGCTCCCTTAGGATTTAACACAAGGAGGCTGAGGTGAAGGAAGGGATAAGAAAGGTGATCAAAAAGGAAGAATTGGGATTAAATGCCATCAGAATACAGGTCCACACCTGCTCTTACTCCTAACATATATGTATGGTTTGCATGCCCAGATCTGGTAACAGTTAATTTTAAATGGCAGATGTCAAGTACCAAGTTTACTAGTTAATATACAAAGGATTTAGACTAAAATTGGATTCTTAGAGAATAATTATAAGGCAGAGAGAAGCAGGCTCCAGACTAGCCTTTCAGAAATGATTCCTAGAACAATCCACAGAGCAGATTCACAAGCTGCAATTGCTGCCATAACTAGAAAGTCAAAGACTCGTGGAAACTCTGCTTGAATTCCTAGG